TTGCACTAATCTCTCGTTTGGAACTGTGTCAAACGCCTTCTTGCAGACCAAGAATATGCAATCCACCCACCCCTCTCTCTTGTCTTACTGCTGTCACCATATCATAGAACTCCAGTAGGTTTGTGACACAGGATTTCCCGTCCCTGAAACCATGTTGGCTGCTGTTGATGAGATCATTCCTTTCTAGGTGTTCCACCACTCTTCTCCTGATAATCTTCTCCATGATTTTGCATACTATACATGTCAGTGACACTGGTCTGTAGTTTAGTGCTTCATGTCTGTCTCCTTTTTTAAAGATTGGGACTACATTTGCTGTCTTCCATGCCTCAGGCAATCTCCCTGTTTCGATAGATGTATTGAATATTGTTGTTAGGGGTACACATAGCGCCTCTGCTCCCTCTCTCAGGACCAATGGGGAGATGTTATCTGGCCTCATTGCCTTTGAGGTATCTAGCTCACTCAGAAGCCTCTTCACTTTTTCCTCGGTTGTGTGCACTGTGTCCAGCACTTGGTGGTGTGCCCCACCTCTCCGTCTTTCTGGAGCCCGTTCTGTCTCCTCTGTGAACACTTCTTTGAATCTCTTGTTGAGTTCCTCACATACTTCACGGTCATTTCTTGTTGTCTCTCCTCCTTCCTTCCTTAGCCTGATTACCTGGTCCTTGACTGTTGTTTTCCTCCTGATGTGGCTGTACAACAGTTTCGGGTCAGATTTGGCTATCGCTGCTATGTCGTTTTCATATTGTCTTCGGGCCTCCCTTCTTATCTGTGCAGATTCGTTTCTGCCTCTACGACTGCTCTCCTTATTCTCCTGGGTTCTTTGCCTTCTATATTTCTTCCATTCCCTAGCACACTTGGTTTTTGCCTCCCTGCATCTTTGGGTGAACCATGGGCTCATCCTGGCTTTTTCATTATTCCTGTTACCCTTGGGTACAAACCTCTCCCCAGCCTCCTTGCATATTGTTGCTACATATTCCATCATCTCATTAACTGGCTTCCCTGCCAGTTCTCTGTCCCACTGAACCCCATTCAGGAAGTTCCTCATTCCCGTGTAGTCCCCTTTCTTGTAGTTTGGCTTCATTCGTCCTGGCCTTCCTGCTTCTCCCTCCACTTGTAGCTCTACTGTGTATTAGAAACTTAAAACCACATAATCGCTGGCCCCAAAGGGTCTTTCATATGTGATGTCCTCGATATCTGCACTACTCAAGGTGAATACTAAGTCCAGTCTTGCTGGTTCATCCTCTCCTCTCTCTCTTGTAGTGTCCCTTACGTGTTGGTACATGAAGTTTTCCAGTACCACCTCCATCATCTTAGCCCTCCATGTATCTTGGCCCCCATGTGGCTCCAAGTTCTCCCAATCGATCTCCTTGTTGTTAAAGTCACCCATGATCAGGAGCTTTGCCCTGCATGCATGAGCTCTTCTGGCCACTGCAGCCAGTGTGTCAACCATCGCTCTATTGCTTTCGTCGTACTCTTGCCTTGGCCTCCTGCTGTTCTGTGGTGGGTTATACATCACTGCTATTACCACCTTGGGACCTCCAGAGTGAAGCGTTCCCGCTATGTAATCACTTTCTTCTCCGCTGTCTCCTCTCTCCAGCTCATAAAAATTCCATCGGTTTTTGATCAGCAATTATTTATTTATTTATTTATTTATTATAAATTTGTGCACACATACAGAGGTACAAAAAAATACAGATAAGAGCAGTATGCCAAAGCCACTTATACTATGCATAGCATTACGGGCTGGCTTAAAATTAACTTAAGATTAATTAAGCAATGATGAAGTCAGTGATAAAACATTAATGTAAACAGATTACTATAAAGCACAAGTGAGTATTACAAAGACAGGTCATATGAAGGATTCTTTTAGGTAGTGTATTTAAAAATAATAAAGTTAGATTGGGTTTTAGGTTTAACATTTATGTGATATAATTGTGAGAAACATTTAAGATATACAATTTATAAGGTTCAGTTATTCAGTATTTATTTGGTTTTGGGTGAGTAAGTGATCTTTGAGTAGAGACTTGAATTTATAAACAGGTAGTGTTTTTTTATATTTACAGGTAATGAATTCCAGATTTTTAGGGCCTTTATGTGCATTGAGTTTTTGCATAGTGTGAGATGAACACGAGGAACATCAAAGAGTGATCTGTGCCTTGTGTTATGGTCATGTGTTCTGTTGAGGTTGGCAAGGAGATGTTTGAGGGGAGGGTTAATATCAGAGTTAAGTGTTCTATGTATGTAATAGGTGCAGTAATAAGTATGGATGTTTTGTATGGTGAGTAGGTTTAGTGTATTGAATATTGGTGGAGTGTGCTGCCTGTAGTGAGAATTTGTTATCATTCTAACTGCAGCCTTTTGTTGGGTAATTAGTGGTCTGAGATGGTTAACTGTTGTTGAGCCCCATGCACAAATTCCACTCTTCCAATGCCACTCTTCCACTCCCCCTGTTCCCTCTGTCTTTCCTCAGGATCTGGTATCCCGTTGGAAAGATGGCATCTGTTATCATACCTATAAGCTTGGTTTCTGTGAGAGCTATGATGTCCGGTGATGCCTCTTTGACTCTTTCGTGCCACTCCTCCCACTTATTTGTGTACTCACCTAATTGTACTCACCTAATTGTGGTTGCAGGGGTCGAAACTCAGCTCCTGGCCCCGCCTCTTCACTGATCGCTACTGGGTCCTCTCTCTCTCTGCTTCCTGAGCTTTGTCATACCTCTTCTTAAAACTATGTATGGTTCCTGCCTCCACTACTTCACTTGCTAGGCTATTCCACTTGCTGACGACTCTATGACTGAAGAAATACTTCCTAACGTCCCTGTGACTCGTCTGAGTCTTCAGCTTCCAGTTGTGACCCCTTGTCCCTGTGTCCCCTCTCTGGAACATCCTATCTCTGTCCACCTTGTCTATTCCCGCAGTATCTTGGTATGTCGTTATCATGTCTCCCCTGACCCTTCTGTTCCCCCCAGTGTCGTCAGTCCGATTTCCCTTAACCTTTCCTCGTACGACATTCCCTTGAGCTCTGGGACTAGCCTTGTTGCAAACCTTTGTACTTTCTCTAAGTTCCTGACGTGCTTGACCAGGTGTGGGTTCCAGACTGGTGCTGCATACTCCAGCATGGGCCTAACATACACAGTGTACAGTGTCTTGAACGATTCCTTATGAAGGTATCGGAACGCTATTCTCAGGTTTTCCAGGCGCCCGTATGCTGCAGCGGTTATTTGGTTGATGTGTGCCTCCGGTGATGTGCTCGGTGTTATGGTCACCCCAAGGTCTTTCTCCCTGAGTGAGGTCTGTAGTCTTTGTCCACCTAGCCTATACTCTGTCTGCGGTCTTCTTTGCCCCTCCTCAATCTTCATGACTTTGCATTTGGCTGGATTGAATTCGAGAAGCCAGTTACTGGACCACATGTCCAGCCTGTCCAGGTCTCTTTGCAGTCCTGCCTCATCCTCGTCCGATTTAATTCTTCTCATCAACTTCACGTCATCTGCGAACAGGGACACTTCAGAGTCTATTCCTTCCATCATGTCGTTCACATATATCAAAAATAGCACTGGTCCTAGAACTGACCCCTGTGGGACCCCGCTCGTAACAGGCGCCCACTGTGATACCTCTTCACGTACCATGATTCGTTGCTGCCTCCGTGTCAGGTATTCCCTTATCCATTGCAGTGCCCTTCCTTTTACATGCGCCTGATCCTCCAGCTTCTGCACTAATCTCTTGTGGGGAACTGTGTCAAAGGCCTTCCTGCAGTCTAGGAAAACGCAATATACCCACCCCTCCCTCTCGTGTCTTACTTCTGTTACCTTGTCATAAAACTCCAGGAGGTTTGTGATACAAGATTTGCCTTCCATGAACCCATGCTGGTTTTCATTTATAATCTTGTTCCTTTCCAGGTGTTCGACCACTCTCCTCCTGATAATCTTCTCCATAACTTCGCACACAATACATGTCAGAGAGACAGGTCTGTAGTTTAGTGCCTCGTTTCTGTTTCCTTTCTTAAATGTGTGTGTGTGTGTGTGTGTGTTGTGTGTGTGTGTGTGTGTGTGTGTGTGTGTGTGTGTGTGTGTGTGTGTGTGTGTGTGTGTGTTGTGTGTGTGTGTGTGTGCGTGAGTGTGTGTCAGTGGGCACTATAGGTCATAGTACAGGTTCTGGGAATAATTGTGCCTACATACGGTGGTATACAACACTGTGGATACATAGGAAAGACGTTTCGCCCGCTAGAGGCCTTATAAATACTGAACAGAGAACAAAATGAGGGCAGGTCAGGTAGAGAGAAGTGCAGATGAGTGAGTCACCTGTTCGTGTAGAGTGTGGTGGAGCTGGATCAGTCTTCCAATGTCACTTGATGCTAGTCCTGCGCCCTGAGAATATTTTTAAGTATCAACGTGAATGCCCGTCTTGTTGTATAATAGATGTTTATGGAATATGGAGGCTGGTCGCGGTGTTTAAAACGTTGAATACATAAAGAAGGTGTTTAAAACGTCTACGTTAGCCGGGTCACCATATGGAGAAGACCCGGGCCTGAAGTACCGGCGAACCTCTAATGAATGAACATCTACGTTAAGGCTAAATGAAAGAGATATGGGAGGAAGGGTTCGTGTTGTTGTTGTTTATAGGGACGCTTACGGCTTATACTGTATCGAACCACTTTAGGCAGAATTTGTTATTGTTGTGGTTATTAGGAGCGCTTACAGTTTACATCGTATCGAACCCCTTTAGGCAGAGTTTGTTATTGTAAAGTAAAAGGACACAAGTGCAACTAATGTGACATTTATTGTGGCAACGTTTCGCTCTCCAGGAGCTTTATCAAGCCACTTTATTACAGAGTTTGTTATTATTGTGGTTTATAGGGGCACTCACAGCTTACACTGTATCGAACCTTTCGAGGCGGAGTTTGTTATTGTTGTTGCTTATAATGGAGCTTACAGCATATGCTGCATCGAGCCCTGAACTTTTTTGCCGAAGAAAGGATTAAAATTTTCTATTGATTTATTTTTCCAGCAGCTCTGACAGGATGAATTAATGTTAAGACTGAAGAGGTCGCTATCTGGACGAGAAGATCGATGCTGGGACATTCTAGGTCACTGCTAAAACTGAAGAAATCGTAACTTGGGCGAAAAGTTGGGTGCTTGGACTGACGAAGTTGGTACTTGGGCCAAATAGGTCGCCACTTGAAAAGGCCACTTGGTGGCTCATACGAAAGCAGTGGTGGCTGGAAACACAGGTGGTCGTAGCTATCCTGCTGGGTGATGGTTGGTGTGTGGGTGGCGGTGCAGGTGGCTGCCCTTATCCTCCTGCTGCTGGTCTTAACCACAGCTCAGCGTCCAGGTAAGTCAACTGTTCACACACAAATAAGAACCTGATTCTATTAACTGTAAATAACGAATTACCACTTAAACGTGTGTGTGTGTGTGAGTTATTTTATTTTTTATTTTTAATATGTGTGTGTGTGTGTGTGTGTGTGTGTGTGTGTGTGACCTAATTCATGTCTGCATAAATAACTCATTATGATTGTAGGCAAATATAAACATAGTAAATCAGTGATCATATTTAGGGGCTAATTACCCTCTTACTTTACGCTAAAGCGTAACCCAAAGCCTACCCTTGATCCTCACCTTCAACATATAAGGCGCAGGCTGATCTTCCAAGACTTTTTGTGGGAAAAAGACGCGTCTTATATGCTGGAAAATATAGTACATAGTTCATTACCATTGTAACTAGGTCAGCTATCAAAACTCTGCGGACCAGCCCCTGGACCCACTGTGTACCTCAGCAATATTTTCACTACCACCCACACCATAGGAATGGGGTGCCTACCATCCACACCATGGTTATGGGGATGACTACCATCCACACCATATGTATGGGGTGACTACCACCCACACCATGTGTATGGGGTGACTACCATCCACACCATGGGTATGGGGTGACTACCACCCACACCAAGGGTATGTGGTGACTACCACCCACACCATGGGTATGGGGTGACTACTACCCACACCATGTGTATGGGGTGACTACCACCCACACCATGGGTATGGGGTGACTACCACCCACACCATAGGTATGGGGGTGGCTACCATCCACACCATATGTATGGGGTGACTACCACTCACACATTGGGTATGGGGTGACTACCACCCACACCATGTGTATGGGGTGACTACTATCCACACCATGGGTATGAGGTGACTACCACCCACACCATGGGTATGGGGTGACTACCACCCACATTATGGGAATGGGGGTGACTACCATCCACACCATGTGTATGGGGTGACTACCACCGACAAGATGGGTATGGGGGTGACTACTACCCACACCATGGGTTTGAGGCGACTACCACCCACACCATGGGTATGGGGTGACTACCACCCACACCATGGGTACGGGGTGACTACCACCCACACCATTGGTATGGGGGTGACTACCACCCACACCATGGGTATGGGGTGACTAGCACCCACACCATCGGTATGGGGGTAATTACCACCCACACCATGGGTATGGGGGTGACTACCATCCACACCATGGGTATGGGGTGACTACCATCCACACCATGGGTATGGGGGTGACTACCATCCACACCATGGGTATGAGGGTGACTACCATCCACACCATGAGTATGGGGTGACTACCATCCACACCATGGGTATGGGGTGACTACCACCAGCACCATGGGTATGGGGGTGACTACCATCCACACCATGGGTATGGGGGTGACTACCATCCACACCATGGGTATGAGGGTGACTACCATCCACACCGTGGGTATGGGGGTGACTACCATCCACACCATGGGTATGGGGTGATTACCACCCACACCATGGGTATGGGGGTGACTACCATCCACACCATGGGTATGGGGCGACTACCATCCATACCATGGGTATGGGGGTGACTAGCACCCACACCATGGGTATGGGGGTGACTACCATCCACACCATGTGTATGGGGTGACTAGCACCCACACCATGGGTATGGGGTGACTACCATCCACACAATGGGTATGGGGGTGACTACCATCCACACCATGGGTATGGGGTGACTACCATCCACACAATGGGTATGGGGGTGACTACCATCCACACCATGGGTATGGGGTGGCTAGCACCCACACCATGGGTATGGGGTGACTACCATCCACACCATGGGTATGGGGTGACTAGCACCCACACCATGGGTATGGGGGTGATTACCATCCACACCTAGAAAATGTACAGAGAACTTTCACGGCGCGCATAACGGAGATAAAACACCTCAATTACTGGGAGCGCTTGAGGTTTCTAAACCTGTATTCCCTGGAACGCAGGAGGGAGAGATACATGATTATATACACCTGGAAAATCCTAGAGGGACTAGTACCGAACTTGCACACGAAAATCACTCACTACGAAAGCAAAAGACTTGGCAGACGATGCACCATCCCCCCAATGAAAAGCAGGGGTGTCACTAGCACGTTAAGAGACCATACAATAAGTGTCAGGGGACCGAGACTGTTCAACTGCCTCCCAGCACACATAAGGGGGATTACCAACAGACCCCTGGCAGTCTTCAAGCTGGCACTGGACAAGCACCTAAAGGCAGTTCCTGATCAGCCGGGCTGTGGCTCGTACGTTGGTTTGCGTGCAGCCAGCAGCAACAGCCTGGTTGATCAGGCGCTGATCCACCAGGAGGCCTGGTCACAGACCGGGCCGCGGGGGCGTTGACCCCCGAAACTCTCTCCAGGTAAACTCCAGGTAAACACCGTGGGTATGGGGTTGACTACCATCCACACCATGGGTATGGGGGTGACTACCATCCACACCATGGGTATGAGGGTGACTACCATCCACACCATGGGTATGGGGTGACTACCATCCACACCATGGGTATCGGGTGACTACCACCCACACCATGGGTATGGAGGTGACTACCATCCACACTATGGGTATGGGGTGACTAGCACCCACACTATGGGTATATGGGGTGACTTCCACGCACACCATGGGTATGGGGGTGACTACCACCCACACCATGGGTATGGGGTGACTACCAGCCACACCATGGGTATGGGGGTGACTACCACCCACACCATGGGTATGGGGTGACTACCACCGACACCATGGGTATGAGGGTGACTACCACCCACACCATGGGTATGGGGGTGACTACCACCCACACCATGGGTATGGGCGTGACTACCACCCACACCATGGGTATGGAGGTGACTACCATCCACACAATGGGTATGGGGGTGACTACCATCCACACCATGGGTATGGGGTGACTACAATCCACACCATGGGTTTGGGGGTGACTACCATCCACACCATGGGTATGAGGGTGACTACCATCCACACCATGGGTATGGGGTGACTACCACCCACACCATGGGTATGAGGGTGACTACCACCGACACCATGGGTATGAGGGTGACTACCATCCACACCATGGGTATGGGGGTGACTACCACCCACACCATGGGTATGGGCGTGACTACCACCCACACCATGGGTATGGAGGTGACTACCATCCACACAATGGGTATGGGGGTGACTACCATCCACACCATGGGTATGGGGTGACTACCATCCACACCATGGGTTTGGGGTGACTACCATCCACACCATGGGTATGAGGGTGACTACCATCCACACCATGGGTATGGGGTGACTACCACCCGTAGCATGGGTATGGGGGTGACTACCATCCACACCATGGGTATGGGGGTGACTACCATCCACACCATGGGTATGAGGGTGACTACCATCCACACCATGGGTATGGGGGTGACTACCATCCACACCATGGGTATCGGTTGACTACCACCCACACCATGGGTATGAGGGTGACTACCACCTACACCATGGGTATGAGGGTGACTACCACCCACACCATGGGTATGGGGGTGACTACCACCCACACCATGGGTATGGGCGTGACTACCACCCACACCATGGGTATGGAGGTGACTACCATCCACACAATGGGTATGGGGGTGACTACCATCCACACCATGGGTATGGGGTGACTAGCACCCACACTATGGGTATGGGGTGACTACCACCCACACCATGGGTATGGGGGTGACTACCACCCACACCATGGGTATGGGGGTGACTACCACCCACACCATGGGTATGGGGGTGACTACCACCCACACTATGGGTATGGGGTGACTACCACCCACACCATGGGTATGAGGGTGACTACCACCCACACCATGGGTATGAGGGTGACTACCACCCACACCATGGGTATGGGGGTGACTACCACCCACACCATGGGTTTGGGCGTGACTACCACCCACACCATGGGTATGGGCGTGACTACCACCCACACCATGGGTATGGGGATGACTACCACCCCCACCATGGGTATAGTGGTGACTACCACCCACACCATGGGTATGGGGGTGACTACCACCCACACCATGGGTATAGTGGTGACTGCCACCCACACCATGGGTATAGTGGTGACTACCACCCACACCATGGGTATAGGGGTGACTACCACCCACACCATGGGTATAGTGGTGACTACCACCCACACCATGGGTATGGGGGTGACTACCACCCACACCATGGGTATAGTGGTGACTGCCACCCACACCATGGGTATAGTGGTGACTACCACCCACACCATGTGTATGGGGTTGACTACCACCCACACCATGGGTATAGTGGTGACTGCCACCCACACCATGGGTATAGTGGTGACTACCACCCACACCATGGGTATAGTGGTGACTGACACCCACACCATGGGTATAGTGGTGACTACCACCCACACCATGGGTATGGGGGTGACTACCACCCACACCATGGGTATAGTGGTGACTACCACCCACACCATGGGTATAGTGGTGACTGCCACCCACACCATAGGTATAGTGGTGGCTACCACCCACACCATGGGTATGGGGGTGACTACCACCCACACCATGGGTGTAGTGGTGACTGACACCCACACCATGGGTATAGTGGTGACTACCACCCACACCATGGGTATAGTGGTGACTGCCACCCACACCATAGGTATAGTGGTGGCTACCACCCACACCATGGGTATGGGGGTGACTACCACCCACACCATGGGTGTAGTGGTGACTGCCACCCACATCATGGGTATGTGGGTGACTACCACCCACACCATGGATATGGGGGTGACTACCACCCACACCATGGGTATAGTGGTGACTGCCACCCACACCATGGGTATAGTGGTGACTACCACCCACACCATGGGTATGGGGATGACTACCACCCACACCATGGGTATAGTGGTGACTACCACCCACACCATGGGTATAGTGGTGACTACCACCTACACCATGGGTATGGGGGTGACTACCAACCACACCATGGGTGTGGGGGTGGCTACCACCCACACCATGGGTATGGGGTGACTACCATCCACACCATGGGTATGGGGTGACTACCACCCACACCATGGGTATGGGGGTGACTACCACCCAAACCATGCGTATGGGGGTGACTACCACCCACACCATGGGTATGTGGGTGACTACCATCCACACCATGGGTATGGTGTGACTACCACCCACACAATGGGTATGTGGGTGACTACCATCCACACCATGGGTATGGTGTGACTACCACCCACACAATGGGTATGTGGGTGACTACCATCCACGCCATGGGTATGGGGTGACTACCACCCACACCATGGGTATGGTGTGACTACCACCCACACCATGGGTATGGTGTGGGTACCACCCACACCATGGGTATGGTGTGACTACCACCCACACCATGGGTATGGTGTGGCTACCACCCACACCATGGGTATGGTGTGGCTACCACCCACACCATGGGTATGGTGTGGCTACCACCCACACCATGGGTATGGTGTGGCTACCACCCACACCATGGGTATGGTGTGGCTACCACCCACACCATGGGTATGGTGTGGCTACCACCCACACCATGGGTATGGGGCATATAATAAATGTATTAGACTAACAAAAAACACAAATAGCCAACAGAATGAAAGAAAAAATACATTTAAACTGTAATAAATCACATAACACACTGTTTGTATAGATGATTATGGTGCATATAATTGCTAATTACTTCTCCAATGATTTTTTTCAACGCCTCGGCCGGCACCCACCGAGGCAGGGCTTCCTGAAGAGTTTGCAAGCATGTTATTTCGATTTTATTAGTCGGTTTTCAATGTGTGCAAAGTCCTCTTTATACACAAATATCCCCGAAGTTAAGACACTGTCTTGTTGCTCTCAGGACCATCCTCCAGCAGGGTGCTGGTGATGCAGGAGTCAGGTCAACCTTCAGCCAAGACCTACGCTCGTCTCCTGACGCCTCTGCCAGCCATCTCTCCCTCCTTCACCCTCTGCTACAGGATCTACATGTACCGCTTCAGGGAGGAGTCTACACTCATATCCTACGCTGTCGACAACGCCAGGGATAATGAGTTGAGAATCGGTGAGTTTGGAGGATTAGTTTGTTTAGACTCAGTCACATAATTATCACAGTGTAAATTCCTAGAATAATCCTTGAAAAAGTTAGACACAGTGACTTATTTCTTTGTTTACCAAGTAGTGGTTTACTTACTGAAGATGACCAAATGCTTAGTAAGAAAGGCTTCAACAAGCTAAAGAACTAATGATTATAGAACCTTTGAAAAGCTAGAGGATTTCACTAGCTTAGGGAGACTTCCAGTTAGTCGAGATCCTTTGATAATCTAGATAATCTTTCATAAACTAGATGTATTTCTATAATATGAATAGACTTCGTGAAAGTAGAGAGACTTTAAAAATGCTAGATTGAAAATCTAGGGAGACATCGATAAGCTCGATGGACTTCGATAAGTTATGGAAACTTTGCTAACATTGGGAGTCTTCGATAAGTTAGGGATGACTTAGATAACGAAGGAGACCTGAGTAAACTAGAGAGATTTTGGTTACCTAGATGGGATTTGATAAGCTAGATGGACTTCGATAAGCTAGATGGACTTCGATAAGCTAGATGGACTTCGATAAACCAAAGACCTCCAGTTTCAGTCCTGGGTATACTAGACAATGCCTTGATTCAGCCGGGGTATATACAATACACTATAAGCAAGTTTATTTAAGCACAGGTTCACATAAGTACAGTTACCATACATACTACATATTACCTAGAATAACCCCCTCCCCCCAAACAAAAGCCAGAGTGACTTATTTCCATTGCAATATGGTACCAATGTTTTTTCCTTGTACAGATCACAGGCTGACGGGGTACATGGTATCGCTGCACAGCCTGTGGGCCACCTCCACCCTGGTCACTCCCATCCGATACTGGTCACACTTTTGCTTTGCTGTCGACCTCGCCTCTGGGAACTGGTCGGTTTTCCTGAACGGGGAGAAGCGAGATGCTGGGGTCCTTCCCCCAGATCTTACTCCCCTGGCTGGTGGGGGTGTCCTTGTGGTAGGTAAGTATCTGATGGAGAAACATTGATGTGAACCTCAACATCAATTAAGAATTCTTACTAATTCAGAATAAAGCTAGACACGGTGTAAGCTGTCAAAGGCCCTATAAAACCCTAACAACATCACCAGTTCAGAATCCCTACTGATTCAGAATAAGGTTCGATACGGTGAAAGCTGTTAGAGGCCCTATAAAACCCTAACAACATCACCAGTTCAGAATCCCTACTGATTCAGAATAAGATTCGATACGGTGAAAGCTGTTAGAGGCCCTATAAAACCCCAACAACACCACCAGTTCAGTATCCTTACCGGTCCAGACCCTTAGCCATCTTGAAATTCCAAAACAAACAATTCCACCGTTACCCTGATCATATCTCTGCCCCGCGGATTCCCACAACAGCAAAACTCATAAATAACATTTGAAGATAGCATAAAAAGCAAGTTAGTAAATAAACTCAGGAAGAAATGAAAGATCAAAGCCAGAGTGAAGCAAATTGTATATAAAAACTGCCTGGCTCTCCCTGGGATCATTATAGTGACCACTGCAATGGATGACTCACGGAAGACATTAGTGCTTCTCATACAGGAGGAACGGATAGATGGTGGATAGATAGATGGTGGCTATGTAAATAGTGGATAGATAGATGGTGGCTAGATAGATAGTGGATACATAGCGGACAGATAAATAGATAATGGTTAGATAGATGGTGGATAGGTAGATAGAGGATATATACACGGTGGAGAGATAGATGGATAGAGGATAAGTAGTGTATATAGTTAGTGGATAGATAGATGGTGGCTAGATAGATGGTAGATAGATAGATAGTGCATAGATTCTGTATAGAATGATAGATGGATAGTGGCTAGATAGATGGTAAATGGATAGATAGTGTGCAGAAAGTGGATACATAGTGTACTGATAGATAGGGATAGATAGATGGTGGATGCATACATATTGGCTAGTTAAGTGGTGGCCAGATAGATGGATAGATAGACGGTGGATAGATGAAAATTAATAGATAGGCAAGGGATAGATTGGTGGACATCAGAAGAATAGCTATTGGATGGATGGATGGATAAATGAAAAGACGGCTAGATGGTGGATTCAGAGGTGTGGAAGGGTATGGAAAAGGCTGGATAGATACCCACATGTTAAATCTGGATAGATGGAATAGGTTGGACGATTGGAAAGGGACGTATTGATAGAAACATAGCCGGATAGCTTCCCCGAACGTACTCATGGTAGAGGATAGACCAGTTTGAAGGTGCTGGGTGGATGGGCGTTGAGAGGAGGTTTTGGGAGAGGCGGTGGGATAGGAAAGGGAAGGAACTGACGCAGTGGATAGCGTGACTTGTGACTAAGAAAAGTAAGCGAGACAATGGGGAGGTGAGACACGAACTGAACACGTTCAGCATGGTTCCTGGAACACAAGACACGTTTATTGGGGTTCCGGGAAACACAAAACATGTTCTTGGGGTTTTTCCGGAACCACAAAAACCGGTTCATTGGGGTTTTTCCTGGAACACAAGAAAAGTTAATTTTTGGTTTTCCTGGAAACAAGCCCATGTTCTTTGGGGTTTCCCTGGAACAAAAGCCGGTTCAAAAGGTTCCTGGAACACAAGACACGCCCTTTGTGGTTTCCGGGAAAAAAGGGACATGTTCACATTTTTCCGGAACACATGACCTTCATTAGGGGTCCGGGAAACACAATACACGTTCACGGGGTTTCCCCGGAACACAAAACCATGTTCAGCAGGGTTTCGGGAACAAAAGGAACTTCAGAAAGGGTTTCCCCGGGAACAAAAGACATTTTTCCATAAAGGGTTGGGAAACCCCAATACACGTTCACGGGGTTTCCCCGGAACACAGGACACTTTTCAGAGGGTTTTCCTGAAAAAACGCCCGTTCAGAAAGGGTTTCCCCAAAAACCCAGGGAAAAACATTCAGCATGGTTGGGTGAAACAAAAGACACTTTCAAAAGGTTTTTTTGGAAACCAAACACTTTCCCTCAGGGTTTTCCTGGAACAAAAGGGACACGTTCATCTTTGGCCCCTTAAAAAGTACGGGTTTTTAAGGTTTTTCCCTGGAACCCCAAAGAAAATTCATCAGAGCCCTGAACACAAAACTTTTAGCAGGGTTTTTCTGGACCCCCCTATACACTTTCTCATTTTCCTGAACACAAGACACATTCTTTTCGGTTCGGGGGAATTTATACACGTTCGTCATGGTTTTTGGGGAAACACAAAGAACATTCTTGGGGTTCCCGGAACAAAAGGCATTTCAGCTTTTGTTTTCCGGAACAACAAAATACGTTCAGCATGGTTCATACCACTACACGTTCAGGGTGGTTCCGGGAACGCAAGACACATTCCGTTGGGGTTCCGGGACCCTTTTACACGTTCATCAGGGTTTTCCGGGAAACCTTTTATACCGTTCATCAGGGTTCCTGTTTCCCGGAAAAATATACACGTTCCCCAGGTTCGGGTTTCCGGGTTCACTAAAACACTTTCTTCATTTTTTCCTTTCAAAAACTACACCCCCACTCACATGTTATTGGAGCATAACACACTTTTCCATGTTTTCCCTTGGGTTTCCCCGGGAACACTAACCCCTTATTAGGGGTTCCTGAAACACTACAAACCTTTATTATGGTTCCCAGCAACACTACACGGGTTCATAGGGTTTTCCGGAAACACAACCCCATGTTTTTAGGGTTCTGCAACACACAAATTTCTTTAGGGTTCCTGCCAACACTACACACGTTCATTATTTCCCTGAAAAACACCCCACGTTCTTTTTTGGTTTCCTGAAAAACTACCACTTTCATTATGGTTCCCTGCAAAAAACACACTTTCATTAGGGTTCCCTTTGCAAAACAAAACACACGTTCATTAGGTTCCTGAAAAAACTACACACGTTCATTATTTCCGGGAACCTACAAAAGTTCTTTGGGGGTTTCCTGCAAAACTACCACTTTTCATTATTTTTCCAGCAACACTACACTTTTTTTTTTATGGTTCCTGTAACATAAAACATTTTCATTATGGTTCCGGGAAACCCCTTACACATGTTCTTAGGTTCCTGCAACATAACATTTCTTTAAATTTTTCCCGGCAAAATTACACACGTTCATTAGGGTTTTCCTGAAAAATACAACTTTCCATTTTGGTTCCGGAAAAAAACTAACACTTTTCTTTATTTTTCCTGCAAAAATTAAAACCCGTTCTTTTTGGTTTCCCCGTAACACTAAAACAATTCCCATTAGGTTCCTGCCCCCACACAAATTTAAATTGGGTTCCTGCAACACTACACATTTCATTAGGGTTTCCCTGAAAAAATCCCACACGTTCATTAGGTTCCCGGGGAAAACACTACACACGTTCATTATGGTTCCGGGAAACACTACACCCCTTCATTAGGGTTTTCTTAGGACACACACATGTTCATTAGGGTTCCGGGAACCAAACAAATTTTCTTCATGGTTCCGGGAACCCACTACACCGTTCATTAGGGTTTCCGGAACACTACCACGTTCATTAGGTTCCCCGGAACACAACACACTTCTTTTTGGGTTTTTGGGACCTACACAGGGTTCATTAGGGTTCCTGGAAAACACTACACATTTCTTTTATGGTTTCGGGAAAAACACAAACCATTTTCCCCTTAAATAGTTCCGGGAACCCCCAACTACACATGTTCATTTTGGCCTGGAACACTCCCAACATTTTTCATTATGGTTCCGGGAACCCATACCCCTGTTCAAAATGGTTCCGGGAAAACACTACCCCTGTTCTTAGGGTTCCCCTGGAAATTTACAATGTTCCTTTATGGGTTCCGGGAAACATTTACACAGGGTTCATTATTTTCCCTTTTAAACATTTTAAAACAGTTCATTAGGGTTTCTTAAACACTACACATTTTCTTTAATGGATTCTGGAACCCTACACAGTTCATTATGGCCCGGGGGAAACACTACACATGTTCATTTTTATTTCCCCTTGGAAACCCACTACCCATTTTCATTATGGTTCCGGGAAACACAACAGGGGGTTCATTTATTTCCTGGAACACTACACTCTTTTTTTTTAAATGGTTCCTGGAACACTACACAGGTTCATTAATTTCCCTTTGAACACTACACTCGTTTATTATGGTTCCGGGAACATTTACACATGTTCTTATATTTTCCTTTGGAAACACAACATCGTTTTTTATGGTTCCTAAACGCTAACATTTTTCATTATATTTCCTGGAAACACTACACTCGTTTATTAGGGTTTCCCCGGGAAATACACTTTTTTCATTTTAGTTCCGGAACACACAAAAAGTTCATTATGGTTTCAGGGAAAACCCCTAAAAAAGTTCATTTTTATTTTCCGGAACACTACACTTTGTTAAAATTTGGTTCCTGGAACACTACACATTTCTTTAAATGGTTCATGAAAAACTACAAAGTTAAATTTTATTCCGGGAACCACTACACGTTCATTATGGTTCCCCGGGAACATACCCATTTTTCATTAGGGTTCCTGGAAAAACTACATTTTCCCCCTTTTAAATTTCCCTGGAAAACTACAACATGTCCAAAAAGGGTTTTCCTGAACATACACATTTTATTATGGTTCCGGGAAACTACCCCAGTTCTTTAAGGTTCCGGGAACCCATTTCAAAGTTCATTAGGGTTCCGGAACATTTACCCCATTTTCCCCCTTATAGTTCCGGGAAACACTACACATTTTCTTTATTGTTCCTGAAACACTACACATTTTTCTTTATGGTTCTTAGAAAAAATACACATGTTCTTTTATGGATTCGGGAACCCCACACATGTTCTTTAAGGTTTCCCTAACAAAACAAGTTCTTTTAAAGGTTCCGGGAAAACACTACAAATTTTCCTTTATGGTTCCGGGAACACTAAAAACATGTTAAATTTTTATTTCCCCGGAAAAACCACTCGTTTTTTAAAGGTTCCTGGAACACTAAACATTTCTTATAGT